GCTGGGCTGGGCTGCTGCTCCCCGGGGAGCAGCGGGGACTGCGGGGGACTGACGGGATGGGCTGAGATGGAAAGCTGAGGGGAGAGATGGGGCAGAGATGCGGGCGGTATGGCAGAGTGGCAGGGATGTTGGAGGCAGCAAGGAGCCGGGAGCGCATCAGGCTGCCGAATCGGGAGTTATTAAGCACAGCAAAGGCTCTGGCTGTCAGACAATCTGAGCCTCTCTCCTCACCCCACACAGGCTCGTTATTACTGAAACTCATTACATTTTGAAATTTTACAAAGGAAGTGTTTCCCGCATGTTCTCAGCCAGACCTTCTGCATCCCGCAGCTTGCTCCATCCACGGGTCTGTGCTAGGGCGGGACACCGGCACAGCTGAGAGCTGGGCAATCGGTCACCAAGCTCTTGGCCTCACTGGAAAGGCTGGGAGGTGGCCACAGTGCTGGGAGAGGAATGCAAAGTGCTTGTGCTCTCAGGACCACCTCACTGCAGGGCTAAGGAGGAATGAATCCATGTCAGGAGGAAAACTCCATCGCAGGGAAGTGTTTCACACTGGCTGCTCAGCCATGGGCAGTAGCTCCAGAACCTGTCTCAGACACAGTGGGCCCATGCAATAAGCCCTGCATGTGAAAGGGTTTACTTGCTGTAAATCTTTGCAGAATTCACTTGATCCAATCCCACCTCATGAGTCACCAGCAAAACCAGGGCACAGCTGTAAATCTCACCCCCCCTGCTCACACCAAGACTCAGCTCATTTCCACAGCCACTGTTCAATGCATCTTCAGGAAAAGCATCACCCTGAAGTCCTGATCCAGGACATGGGATTTTTCCAGCCTCTTCCTGCAGGGACCCAAGCACCAGCAGCAGGAATTTGGCCATCAGCATCCGCAGGCAAACCCAGAGGTGAGAAACAACTTGATACACAGTTTTACACCAAATTTTGAGGAGCTGGTCTCACCAGAAGGTTAGGTGCATAGACCATAGCCATGGTCAAGTTATTTAATTTTTGCTTCCCTTCTTCTCAACAAAAAAACCAACAAATCAGCCCAATCCTGCAGCATGTCTGTCAAAATCCATGTTCACCACAGAAATGGTGGCTCAGAATGAGCCACTGAGGTCTACACCCTCAAATCAGGGGGCAAAGAAAGTCAGCACCACTGGGACAGGAGCATAAATCAGGTTATTGATTTAAATGTAGCTATTGATTTAACCCCTTCTGTTGTCTCTCTGTGTTCCTCACATGTTCATCCAAATCAGAGAGAACGTAATTTCAGACAAACTCCATGGTTGCTTGCTGTGCAAGCCATCAGTCCCCAAAACTCCTTTGTGCTCAGGAACCAGGCAGGGTGGCAGGTAGGTATCAGAATCAGGATAGCCCTTGAAAGCAAGAGTACAGGAAGCAGGATTGTATTACCAGAGGTCATGAGTGCTACAGGTACCAGATAACACTGCTCTGAGGGATTATTTCTTACCACAGCAAAAAAAATCAGGATATTCTGAGGATATTATCCTATATATATATATAAAAAAGTATTTTTATATATCCTGACAGCTCCAGGAGGACCTCAATGCTGCATTGCATACAGGAAAGCCGATGGCTGCATGCACCCAGAGATGCTGCCTTACCTTAAACTTACCCAGAAAAATCCACCCAGCACCTCTGGGGCTGCAGCTTCACCTTCTCAAAGTGGCATGCACAGAGCAGAGGTGTTTTTGGGAGCTCCTGAGCTTAGACAGAGTAGGGGGGCAGTGGGAGGTCAGGGCTGTGGAGCAGGAAGTGATCTCCCCCAAACTCAGTCCGGTTTGAAAGCCTGGCAAGCACTAACACTAACAAACAGTCAGTGTGTTTATATCCCACCTTCCTGCCGGAGAGCAGGGGTTATTTTTGGCATGTTTTGTCATTTGTGGAGATGTCAGTGAAGGCCAGGAACAGTGCAGAGCTGTTGGGAAAGCCCAGAGGCAACTGCCCCAGGCGCAGGATGAGGTGAGGGAGGTGGGAAGCTGCTCCAAGCCATTTACATAGAGACAGGGTTTTGCCTGCAGGATGTGGGGCACAGCCCTGGCTTCAAAACACCTGAGGACTAAGAGCAGCATGAACTGACCTATTCAAGCCCTATTCTAGCCCCACATTGCTCCCATCCACCTCAAGTAGCAATAGAGCAGGGGTGTCAATCTGAGCCCTCATCCACCCAGTGCTTCACTCCTTCCCACCTTTCCTGCCTGTGCATGAACCATGACCATCAGCTGGACACCAACAGTGATGTTCTGGCATCATCAGTCACCCCTTCCAGCCTTGCTGTTTTTGATCTGGGCTTACTGCTCATGATGAGATAAAACAGAAAGGAAGAAGAGAACACAAAGCAGTATCCCTCTTTGCCCACTTGCCATTGTGCCACAGGGCTTGGCCACATTCCTTCCACTCACTGCTGGTTTTAAGATCATTTAAACCACTCACCTCCCCCCATTTTCCCCCAGAAAGTGACCTCCTTACCTACAGTTTTGGATCTGCTTTGTCCCTCCTGTGAGCACCAGACATCCTCTGCAGCCAGGACTGCTTTTCCTTACTAAACCAGCAAGATCAGCAGGGAAAGCACACGAGTTCCTGCGAGCACTTGCAGGCTGATGGCTTTGGCAGATAGCTGGCTCTTCTCTTCCAGACATGGATCTAAAATAGGGAGCATGAGTAGCTGAAAAGCCCAGGTTTGGTTTGGGCAGAAGCTTGGACTGGTATCAGCCAAGAGGAAAACAGGTAAAACCAGGATTTTGGCAGGTCAGGAGTTACTGGCCAAGCCTCAGTCTGGGTATAACCTCGACTGCCCCACTGCAGCAGGGAATGTGGCTGGAAGCACCATCCTTTCACATGGCTTGTCCATAAAACACAAGATTTAAGCCCAGAAAGCTGGTAGATAGGTTAAGAGAAACCTTCCATGCCAGCTCCAGATGTGTGGTCTCCCATCTCCTCCAGCCTTTGCTGCTGCTAATTCCCCGTGTGTTGCCTGAGGATTTAGCCACCCCCACATTTCTTGTCTAGCACAGGTGGTTTGGAGGACTGCAGTCCTCCTGAGAACTGATTAAGTCCCACAGTGCTGCAGTTTGAGAAGGTGCCACAGGCTCTACTTGGCATCAAAAGCCTTAATTGAGCCCTACCTTTGCGCATCCATTCGGATCCAGCACTTTCTCTGGGCCTCTTTGTTTTATCCCCAAGCAAACAGCTGGAATTAAGAACATCCCCATTAATTTGCCATGCATATGGAGAGGTTGAGGATTTCTCCTCCAGCTCAGGAGCCCTGTGGCCTCACTGAGCCCAGCGCTGGCTTCCAGTCTCACAGGCATATTCACCTCCTCCCTCCCCAATGCTGTGCAGATAACAGGGCAACTGCTATAATGAGTCTCTGTCTGTCCAGCCCTGCTCAAAGCAATTAACAAAGCCAGGCACTAATGAACTTGGCTTCAGAGCGCCCCGGAGATGGGTTATTGCCATTTGAAGTGGAGGAGAACCAAGGCAAGAGCAGGTGGAGTGGCTGACCCTGGTCACAAGGCACCTCGGGTTGGATGCAGGAGACAGAGCTCCCTGCCTGGAGCAGGGAAAGGATGGCAGGTAGACACGAGGGCGACCACAGCTCTCTAATGTGGTGTCTGTGGCTGGAGAGACTGGTTTGTCCACGTTTGGGAGGGCAGGAGGGACTCTCCACCCATCCCAGTCCTGTCTCATCCCTGAGTGGCTTTGGGGAAGCCATGTCTCTGCAGCCAGAACTCCTGACACCCGCCTCAGTGAAACTCCTCTACATCCCGCACCCCAAGTTTTGCAAGACCCCAGATGCGGCCATTGAGGCACAGAGCAGGAGGACTCATGGGTCCCCTTGCAAAAGCTTCCTCAGTTCATGACTCAGCATCCCACCCTCCTTGGTGTCACTCGTGACTCCATTTCACTTTGCTGCAGCAGCATTTCACCATCTCTTATCAATGCAGAAGACAACAGGGCAGCCTGTCCCAGCTGCAGACATGTGCCAAACACCTCGCCCTGCAGCATTTTCAGACCAACCTCCCCGTGGTTGTGAACTGAACATCCTCTTGCAAACGACAGGTTTCCCTGCAATGCTGGAGCAGGTCAGAGTGGGTCTCTCCAGGTCCACCTGCAAGGGTGAGGATAGCTGATAAATCACAGGGATGTGGCCTCTGCACCACATGCTCTCACAGCACACACGTCCTCACATGCACGTTGACGGCATGCTAAAAATATTCTTCACTTTTTGACCGATTAAAATTTTCCAGGAGAGTTGGAACCACAGCCCCCACCCTATCTGTACAGCCAGAGGCTTCCCCTCACCTCCCCCAGCCCTGCCAGGAAAACAGACAATACTGAACAACAGTTCTGGTAATTTGGAGGGTTTGGCTCTTTTAAAAGCCTGGCTAAAATATAATCTTTTTTCAATAGTTTATTTTGTGATGTCTGGCACCATTCTGGAGCCAAACTTGGCACCCTGTCTTGCTCTCACACTCCCACAGAGAAGGCTGTGGGTGAGATGGGATGATCCTACTTCCCACCCAAAATCCCATTTTGATGGCTCAGGAAATTAAACAAAGAAAATATGTTTTAAAACCAGCTCCCACCTGGTGTTAGGCAGCAGAGAGCTAATGCTAGCTTGGTGACAGCTCTGAATGCTGATGGCCAGTCATGATTTTCTTGTCATATTTTTCAGAGGTGCCTGTTGTGCCAGGTAAAGAAGGAACCTGAAGGATGCTGTCAAACCCCTGGCCAGTGGCCAGGCCCTTCTGTGCCACCACTGATGCTTGTGGCAGCATTTTCTTTGCCTGATTTGGCTCCTGGCCATGGAGGAGGAGCAGGGGAGGCCACAGAAGGTGTTTATACAACATGGGGATTGTCTCGGCGAGACCAGAGCCTTTGCCAAACTGAGCTAAGCTGATAGGAAGGAGATGTCATCAGTGTGTTTTTGCTAATTATCACTAATAATTATTTGTGTGTAGTTTCTCTTAGGAGCTCCAGTTCTGGCTCAGCCCCTGCTGCTCTTGCAGCCCTGTGCAGCTGGAGCAAATGGGAGGGTCTTACCCCAAAATCCTGCAGGTGAGAGGAGAGGGAGGGCAAGTGCAGTGCTTGGACAATGCCCTGACCATGGTTGTCAGCACAATGCTTCCTCCCTCTTGATGTTCTCTCCCTGCTAACACCAGTTATAAGCAGTCAGACCCCATCTGTCCTCCCTTGGCTTTTCCGAGTGTGTTTGGTGCCTCAGCCTCTTGTCAAAACCCAGATTCCTCACAGCACAGCTATTAGCTGCTCCCTCCCATGTGAGATGTCTTTCTGCTGACACGGCAATCATTCTTCTGCCAACGTGCCTTGACAGTACCAGGATTTCTCATTTCAAGTCCTGGTGTGTCCCAGGGTGATTCCCAGCTCCTCCATTAACCCCTGGACCTACAGGATGGGGGTAGCCTGCCCTGATGGATACCCTGCTATCCCTTCTGCCTCTGGTTAGCAGAAGCTGCCTCTTGTTTTTCCTCTTAGCACTTGCCATACCTATGCAGAAGAGCATTTAACCTGGAGGTAGAGTGTGTCAGACTTTTATTCTCCTTTCCTTCTTATTTTCTGTGCTGAGAACAATGGAGGCAAGGTTTGCAGAGGGAGGTAATGTCTTTTTTTAGACTGACTGAAATAATTAGAAGAAAAACCAGGCAGGCTGTTGGGTACACGAGCCCTCTAGCAGGCCTGAAATAGCTGCAGAAGTCTGCAAAGCTGAATACCAGTGGAGAACAATAGCTCTGAGCATGACTAGTGTTAACCAGTTCTGCTACCAAAGACCATTCCCCAGCTGTTTACCTTGGGTGAACAAGTGGCATCACCCCTCTGCCAAAATCCACTGTCCAGAGACGACCCCATGGCCAGAAGTCACTGTTGTGGCTGAGGGAGGCACGTGGATACATGGACCTGAGCCCTGGGCATTGCTCCTTGCAGGCTTCCAGGAGCATCCCTTGCCTCCCTACACCCTGTGCCCTGTCCTGCTGCTCCTGGGGCCTGACCTAACCCCAGCACAGGGACACTGTGCCACCCTGGACCCTGCCTCACCACCGGGACCCTGCCTGACCCTGAGAACTCTCTGATTTCAGGCGCTGTTTTACTACAGGGGTCTGGCTCGAATTAATGGGATCCTTCCTAGTCCCAGGGGACCATGTGAGGCCCCTGACCTTTGGGACCTGCTGATTTCAGGGACTTCCTACCAGTGGGTCTAGCGTGATCCCTGGGACACTGCCTGACCCCAGGAATTGTATCTGACCCCAGGGACCCTGCCCAACCCTGGGAATCCTGGGGACCCCGACAGACACTGGGGACCTTCTGATTTCAGTGATCCTCCAAATTCACAGTGTCCTACCACAGGGGTTTTGCCTGATCCCTGGTGACCTTATCTGACCCGGGTGGATGTCTCCCACCCCAAGATCCATGTCCCTCTCCGGCTATCCTGTCATCCCTGGATATCCTGACCCACCCCATATCCCAGCCCGTAGCCGCCGTCGGACCGCAGGGACCCCGTTCATCCCCCTCCCCAAGGCTCAGCCCCATCCC